TTCAAGTGAACAGTCCTGAGCCAAAGCTGCCACCAGAAGGCATTCCTGCTGCCCCCTAATAGCTCAGCACTGCTCACAGTAGCCATGGCACATCCAGCAGAAGAGAGAGGTAAAGCCAGCAAATCAATATTTTGTCAAAGTCCACCTGAGTCTGATTCACCTGAAAAACATAGTTCCTATGTCTTCAAACACAGCCAAATTCTTTACAGAAAAAAAAAAGTCTTTGCTTCCCTGGGTGTTGTGAACAAGAAAATAAGTCTAACAAAATCCAAACACAATTTGGCAGGATGTAGCACTTGTTGGAGATAATCCTACCTGCTGAAATTTCCTTTTAACCTCAGTGAAGTTTCTGGTAGATGCTAAGTATAATCAGGACAGATACCAATTCTCTCCCACTGGAAAGCAGAGTGAACAGACTTCAAAATATTGTTCTTTCATGTCACATCAGCAAAGGAAAAGTTCTAGAAATAATTACTTTGGGCTTTTTCTCCTGAAAAGTTACCTGGGTGATTTTGGCTGTGGTAGGTTCCCCAAAGTAAGAACAACATCATTGTTAATATCACATATACATAAACCTGACAACATTGAATTCAATGTTCTAGGTTACATTGTGTGATACTTGGGGTGTCCTGTGCAGGGCCAGGAGTTGGACTTGATCATTTTTGTGGGTCCCTTCCAGCTCAGGATATTCTGACTCCATAAATTTATGAACTCAGCCCAAACTTTTCAGGTGATGGAGAAACAGAGGGTTCCAAAGCAGGGGGATTGCAGACCCCCACAGCAGGAGTTGCTCTGATTTCTTTGGAATCCATGGTGGGTTAGGAAGGACCACAGGCAAAGCTGTTGCTGATATTCCTTGTCAGCTAAAATCCCCTCACTGCAACTTCTGCCTTAACACCCAGCTTGTAAATGGCTCTCAGGTACTTCAGGATGGGGATGACAGTTTTGGTCACCTGAAGATGCAAACAGAGAGTCCCAAGATCCCACAAAACATTTTCTGGAAATGCCCATTATGTCATATGAAGTGTTTATTCAACTTCAATTATAGGTCTGATCATGCACTAATTGTAAATTTTGTTGCAAGCCATCGTGGGTTCCCTGATGATTAAAGGACTGATAGTTCTGTTATTAATTATCATTTCCAGCATGGAAGGCTGCAGTGTGATTCCCTCTGCAGAGGTAGGTGCCATCCATAGGCTCCTGAAGAAGCATCCCTGGCTTTGGAAAACTTAGAAATCTAAACAGACAGTGCAGACAAAAGAACCACCATTATCTTCCTTTTCCAGATGGGGAACTGAGGCACAGAGAGATTAAGTGACTTGCCAACATCTGTGGAAGAATGGAGGATTAAACCTTGATCTCCTGAGTCCAAGTCTGGTGTTCAGTCACCGGACCAGCCTTCCTGCTCCTGCTAGTGTGTTACTGCTCTCATCTGCTCTGTGGGTTTTCCTGCCCACTCCTACCTAATCCCTTTTCAAGGTAGCCCTTGAGGGACTGTTATTATGTGGGTCAGGGCTGGATGCAGCCGTGCCAGAGAGGGACACACTCTTTTTGTCCTGTGGGCACCGCTGGCCCAGCTGGCAGGTGCCACTGCTGGGTGGCATCACAGGAGCAAGGACTTACAAAGTCATTTCTACTTCCAGGCAGGAAAACCTGCCATGAAATCGCTGGGCAGCAGGGAAAGAGGAAGCTGATTGCTGTGGCATCTGCAGTACCCATCCCAACAAAGCCAAAGAGCGTGTTTGTGTAGGAAGAAGGGTTGTAAGACAAGAAAAACCTCTTGAAAGATGAATATTTGGATCTCTGGACTCTATCAGTGTTTATTTCTTGGGCTGCAATACCACCTGCAGGCCCCAGACCAGGGCTGGACGCTGCAGAGAAAAGAGGGTTTTACAACCAAAGGGGGCAGGTCCCAGCCCTCGGGCTCCATGGGAGCCTTCCTGATGGATGGGGAGGGTTGGGATGACACCCTGCACACACCACTGGACACACACACACCCCAAGCTGCGTTGTCCCAACCAATCCCCTCAAAAAAACCCTGCATGGAGGAGACCTGACAGGAAAATAAATCTAAAAACAATCTTTGAGGCGAAACGCTGCAGGTGCTCCCAAATAACCAGGTAACAACGCTATTTCCCCGCTTGCCACAGGTCAGGGCTTTGTGCTGTGCTGAGAGGGGCTGACCCACGCCCCCAGCCCGTGTCCCCAGGGGGGTGTCACCGCCAGGGCCTGTCCTCAATGCCTGTCACCCCGATTGTGGTGGCCCAGAGATCACAGGCGGGCAGCGGGATCTGCTCAGATGGCGTCGGAGCAAGGGTAATCCAGTTATTTTTAGAGAAGTTTTTCCACTCGGAGATCATACACACTGCAGATCACAGAAACACATGCAAGCATGAAATTTCATTTTTGAGAATTCTTTTCCCGGGGCTTCCCTGTAAAGTGGCGGTGAATGGGAAAAGCTACAATCATGACAAGACAATTACAGAGGGGTTTTTTGCTAAGCATGAAACTTAGGGAAAAAAAAAAATGTTCAGGGAAAGGGAGAAGGATGAAAAAGCAACTCACAAGAAAAGTCATTTTTGTCCACTTGTCTTGTCTTGTTCCACTGAAGCAGAATTAGACATCATGTCACATAAGTGATTTTAAAATAAAAATTGGCTTTAAAATACCTGAGAAAAATAAGGAAGTGTTTGAGTTTGATCTGCTTTTCCTAGTTTGGCTCTTTTAGTGACACAGTGTGTACGCAAATGGGGAAACAGCCAGCACCCTCCTAAATGCTGCAAAACACACTCTTGTGCTTTTAGCATGAAAGTACTGGGAGACATACATTAGGATTTGTGGGATTATGGCGAGAAAGCAGGAATGATAACTTTGATGTTCTTTTTTTTTTTAAAAAAAAAGGGTGAAAAGACAGAAAGCTGCGAGTATTTTTTTCTCTTCTTGGCAAAGCCCCCCAGGAAAGAGCTAGCATGGAAAATGGATCCGCTCTCATCTTCTGGAGAGGCAATTCCTCCCCTTCCAGCCGGGGTTCACCGCCGTGGCTGTGCAGGGGAGCTCAGACGCTGCGTGTCTGAGCCCTGCTTAGCCTGTGGATAAACACAGAGGCTGGCTTCTACAATGGGCAGCCACGGAAAACTTCTTAAGGAGAAAATATTCCCTGCAAAATGAATAGCAACCCTGCATCCAGAAACGCTAAGACAGAACCAGTTTGGTGTTGGCGGGAAATGCGCAATTGCCGCCGCAACGATGGTCACAGTGCTGGGAATTTTAAAGGTTCTTATTAAACCAAGTCCCTTCTTGGTGTAGGCATCTTCTGATACAGCCACAGCTGCTGAAAGGTTGCCACAGCTGCTCTGATCATCACTGCAATGTCCCAGTGGTTTTAAGTAAGGAATCGAGATCCTGGTGAAAGAACAACTCAGTGATTCACAGCAGAGGGGATCAAGATGTTTAGAAATTGCTCCAAAACTTTTCAGCTGTCCTTATTCAAGAGGCAAGTGGTTTAGCACAGATCACCTAGGAGGAAAATGTCATAAAGCAGAAAGTCTAAGAGGGTTTACCTTGATTTTGTAGCATTGGGTGTCTCATCGCTCCATCAGGCAACGCTCAGCTGCACTCAAAGGTGGGAGTGACACGCTCATCTCCTCCAGGTCTAGAGACAACACAACAAAATAATTTGTCAAGTTGTCAAAACTCAACAGACAGGGTAGAGGAGCAGACTGGGGAAATTTGGATAGACTGTGCCTTCACCCAGTCCTAATCTCACCACTGGAGGCTGTAAACATGATGGGTGAAGTGACAGTCTGGCTACAAATCTGTCTGGCAGCTTCATTAGACATCTTTCGCCTGACTGATTAAACTGCATTTAAGACCCACTTTCATTTTTTCAAGTCTTTTGTTTAAATTAAAAGGTCATGTTTTCGAGCGAGTGATCCGCTGCCCTCTCCAGTCTCCTGCCACAATACAGTTACATTACTACGAGTGTTGCACAAAGCGCTCTGAATAAGATCCACAGACACCAACAAATGTCGCAGCCAGCGGAGGCTACAGAAAGGGGTTTTTGTCTCTTCGTTATGTGCCACAGCAGGGAAACGAGCTTGAAAAGTCCCCCAGCCTCAAACTTGGACTATTTCTGCTCTGTGCACTGGAGGGCTTGCAAAAAGCACTCGCTACTTTTGCAGATTTATTCCAGCAGCAAACCAGGTCCGCCCGGTGCGTCTCGCTCCACCTGGGTTTTGCTGTGCTTTGCC